GGCTTCCAAGGTTGCTGTTAAAAAGTTGGACACTGTCCAGTTCCTGACACTTTCTCCCCAGACTCTAAGGGGTGCTTGGTGTCCCTGGTGGGCGACAGTGCCACCGTGATAGGCTTGGAGAGCCTCCCTCCTCTGGATGGGGCCTGCAGTGACCCCTGCAACTGAGTGACCAGTGGCCTCCTGAGTGTCCTTGCATTCCCCCGCCTCATTTTTCCTTTCACTGCGTGCCCTGCTTTATGGGGGACTTTCCTGTCCCTCCAGCCATATGGGGGACTTTCCTGTCCCTCCAGCCACTCTCTATTGGATTTTGTTTTCTCTCATTGCTTGTTTTTATTTTTAATTTGAAAGGGCATTTTCTTTTCTCCACATATGCTTTTAATAGTGTTCTTACCTCCTCAGGGCTCCATCATCTCTCCCTCTCTGGGGATACGAGCTGTGCGTAGTTTTGTTCCCATGTTCTGTCTTCTCCCTGGCATGGTGGCCTTACCTGTGTCCCTCTGCTCCTTGTTTTGTTCTGTGGGGTCCCTGCCTGGCCCCTGCTGGCTGCATGGCTGGTCGCTGGGTGTAAGAACGAAGCGGCAGGGCCTGGGACCAGGCCCTGAGTGTCCCCCACCAGCGAGACTCCGAGGGTGTGCGGGGCCATGTGGGGCACGGAGGCCACACAGCCCTCCCGTGTGTAGGGCGTCATCTGACCTGAGCTGTCCCTGTGCCTGTCTCTTCTGGGCTCCAGGATCTGGGATCTGCAAGCGCTTGGCATGTCTACACACTGTACCCCCTTATATTTCAGCCACACTGACCTCTCTGCCCAGTAGCCCCCAGTTTCCACTTGGACTTCAGGGACGACACTGGAAGAAAGCCCCAGGGGTCAGTCCCAGGCAGGGTGAGGCCTGGGCCCTCTGGAGGGTGGCAGTCATGGGCCCAAGATGGCCACCCTGGCCCCAGAGCTGACCAGCTGGCTGCCCCCAGGGCTGTTTGTGGCAGGTTTGTCGCCTCAGCCTGAGTTCCTGTCAGTAAGACCGAGGCGCTTCTGTTCCTGCTGCCCTGCCTGTCAACACCCTTGCTTCGGGAGGCACCCGTGCAGCTAGGCTTGTCTCAGCTGCACCCTGAGGTGTTGCCCAGGCTGTGGGGACCATGGGGCTGTCCTGACCAGAACAGCTCATTGCAGGCACAGGCAGGGAGCTCACGTACTCTCTCAGCCTTCCCACTTTCCCACCTAGGGTGGAGATGGGATGTGGGACGTGGGACATGGGAGTGCTGCTCTGTGTAGGGGAGAAATAGGAGGTGGTCTCTGCCCCTAACGAGACTTAGTGTTTACACTGTCTTCTAAGGACCATCATCAGATGCTGTGAGAGAGTTAGTTGTTGGTTTTTGTTACGTTTGGTTTGGTTTGGTTTTTTGGAGACAAGGTCTCACTTGTAGTTCAGGCAGGCCTTGAACTGACTATGCAGCCCTAGCTGGCCTCTAACTTGTGGTGATGCTCCTGCCTCAGTCTCCAAAGTGCTGGATTACAGGGCTGACCACCACACCCGGCTGTAAGGAGTTTTGTCGTAGACTGGTCGTTTGTGTCCCTGGCATTTGGCCTGCAGTCTGGGTTAGCTGTCCCAGGTGACCCCGAAGTAGGCGCCCTTCTGTGGAGCTCAGATGCCACCATCCCAGTGAGGCCCAGGACATCTGGATCCGTCTTCACGTGGTACGTTTGACGGCCCTGAGGTTTCCCAGTCTCTGGCGTCTCCCTTCCTGCGGCCCCTGGAGTGGAGGCGTGGCGTCAGGAGGCCCATCCCAGGCACAGGCAGCTGAGGGATGGCTGGGTGGGGTTCATTGAGAAAGGCCCTTCCCTGCAGGCCGGAAAAGCTGAGTGAGCATCAGCCTGACCTGGCACTGCCGGGAAACCACTCGGCCCTGCAGCAGCAGTGACTGTGGCATTGTGCCCCATCCTGGCACCAGGGGACTTCTTGGCATGAGCCAGGCCCAGACTGAAAAGCAGCCAAGAGACTGCTCTGCCTTTTTCCCTGCTTTTGAGCTGGACTTTGCCAAGCCTGGTGTCTGACTTCCGCTCAGCCATCCTTTGGGAAGGGATGCCTCTGCCGGGGGCTTCTCTGCAGGATGCAGACTCGCATACTACCCTCTGTTTTTTGTTTTCTGTCTCATTCTCTTTTTTTTGTACTGAGGATTGAACCCAGCCTTCAGCCCTTTTACTTTGTCTTTTCAGACAGAGACTTGTTAAGTATCTTAAGTTGTCCAGCACGGGCTCCAACTTGGGATCCTCCTGCCTCAGCCTCCCAGGATACTGGGATTACAGGCTGCAACACCAGGCCTGATGCATTCTACTTAGCTCTGCACTTGATCTTTTATAAAGCACCTGCGGGTCGTTCCCATGCTCGCCCCACAATCCCAGATCACCAGAGCTCACGGGATGTACCATTGCCAGACTGTGCAGGACAGAAGCACTCACTGCCTCAGGGCCTGCATGCGAGGTGTCTGAGATGAGCCCACCCTGTCCCACTGCACTCGGGCTGGACGTTCCCTGCTCTGTTGCAGGGAGGCTACTTGTGTGTCTGGGTGACACCTTGGCCTTGTGGTCTGCAGCACTGCCTTAGGCCTCAGGGCAGCCTCTCCGAGCCCAAGTGTCATCCAAGGGCCTGGATCTGGGGCAGGTGTATGGGGCACCCAGCATCGCAGGGCCGCAGTCCCAGGAGGTACCCCATCACCTTGCCACTGCATCCCTCAAACACCTTCGTGCCACAGCTGGTGGAATTTGGGTCCCAGATGGCTGAGTTTGAAAACCTGATTTCTGAGTGTGTGAGATGGTACTAGTGAGATCTTCTGCCCCTCCCCACCTTTGTGCTTGGGTTGTATTTTAGGTTCAGAATTAAATTCAGAAGTCTCTTGTGTTTTGCTTCTGCCTCACAGCTCATGTATTGATTAGAATGTCTCTCTGTCAGAGAAGCTTGAGCTAGTCCTGGGAACACAGGCTCCTCCAAAGAGCTGGAGGTGTGGCCAGGACACACACATCCAAAAAAATTTCTGCACCCGCATGATTACCTATCTCTAGCAGATTTGGGGATCAGGTGGGAAAGAGAACAGAAGTTCTCAAATTAGAAGCCTGGTATCATGGTGCACTCCTGTAATCTCAGAGACTTGGGAGGGCTGAGGCAGGAGAAGGATCACGAGTTTGAGCCCAGTATGAGCAACAGAGCAAGATCTTGTCTCAAAATAGAGAAGAGCAGGAGTAGCCCAGTGTGAAGGCCCTGGGTTCAATTCCTGGTACCACCAAAATAAAAAAAAATTATGAATGAGAAAGCTTAGAATTCTGCTTGCCTTGAGCTTATTCACCCCTGAAAGGGCCAGTGACTCAGCTTCAAATTTCTCCTAGGGTTAGCTACAGGGTTTTCTTTTCATTCATCCCTTGCTCCATCCACCAAGTGTTCCTTGAGCCCCGATTGTGCAGGAGGCTGCCACTGAGAGGGAGTCAGATGAGGACCCACTGGGTCCTGGGGCCCAAGAGGGTGCAGTGTGCGGAGGAGAGAGGAGGCAGCGTGGGGCTGAGTCCCCATGCAGGAGACCAAGTGTTTGGACAGCGGGGCTGGGGGCACCAATGAGGAGGAAGCAGGAAGCAGGAAGCAGCAGGAGTCCTCCAGCCTGGTGCACCAGGGAGCCACCACCTCCTGGGGCTCTGGGCGGCCTGAGAGAGTACAGAAGAGGAGCAACTGCTCCTCTATCCCAGGGCCCAGCCTGTGCCATCGCAGGCTCTGGGTGGGGCTCTGTGTCACGTGAGGCAGGACCCACGTGGGCGGGCAACCACGAAGCACCTGCACCCTCCTACCATGTTCAGTTTGGTTTTCTCAGAATGTTTTGAATAGAAATCATTTTCGGAATCAAAGTTTTGATGTGGTTTGATAACTAAAGCCTGTCTTCACTAATGAGAGGAAGCAGGCTACAGCTTCCTTTTTTTTTGTGGTTCTAGAGATTGAACCCAGCACTTTTCACACTGAGCTACATCATCCCCAGCTCTTTTATGTGGTGGACCCTCGAGTTACAACCAGCCTAACATACAAACAACTTGAGTTACGACCAGAATTTTAGTTTTAGCTTACAACCACAGTCTTGAGTTACGACCCATATGCTGGGTGCTTGTGCTTGCACATGGTCTCACATACAGATCTAACCCTTAAAGAGTTCTGGAAGGAACATTTCATCATCCTTTCCTGTGTGGAGTTAACTGAGAAATCCCGGGCCAGTGTCTCTCTAAGGACCCTGAGATCTGCCTGTGTACAGGAGAGAGGCTTTGAAGACTGTGTAGAGGAGCCTGAGCCTTTGTTGGCCAACTTGAGTTACAACCAGCCCTTGGGAAGGAATTGTTCATAAGCTGGGGATCCACTGTACTTTGAGACAGGGTCTCGCTAAGTCCTCAGCTGCCCAGGTTGGGCTCAAACTTGGGACCCTCCTGTCTCGGCCTCCCAGAGTACCAGGACGACAGGCCTCTACCACCTCCCAGCCTGCACTCGGTCTTTAGCCCCTCAGGTCCCAGGTGCTCTTCCCAGCATGTTTCCGTGGAACCATGGAGTCAACTCTCCATCCCAAGTCTTTTCTTGGGGTGCCATCTTGTGGACGGCTTTGCAGTACCGATCTGCTCCCAGGCCGCCTAATTGGTCCTCCGGCCTGGAGCTGGCCCTGCCTGATGGGGAAGCTTGGGTGGGTAGGAGCTGCCACGCCTCCGTGGGCAGGAGGGCCGCAGCACGTCCTGCCTGCAACCTGGGGCGTGGGCGGCCTTGGCCTACAGCAGAGGCTGCTGCTGGGAGACGACGTGTTGCCATCGCCGGGATCCTATTCCCTCGCTGTGGGACCTCTACCCTGGGTGTGCCCCGTCTTCTGAAGAGGGTTGCACTGCACAGTGCTGCTGTGTGCAGCGGGGACAGTAGTGAGTCCCCCTCATCCAGATGGTCCTGGAGCCTTGCCCTGCACAGAGTTGAAAACTTACCAGTGTCCTTTCGTCTCTGCAGTGTCCCCAACTCTTGCCCTGCCAGTCCTCGTGGAGCCGGGTCCTCTGGCTACCGCTACGTCCAGAACGTGACCTCAGACCTGCAGCTGGCTGCAGAGTTTGCAGCGAAGGCCGCCTCGGAGCAGCAGGCAGACACGTCCGGCGGGGACAGCCCCAAGGTCAGAGCCTCAGCTCCTGTGGTGACAGGACCGGGTGGTAGGGGCCTGCCTGGGGGCAGCACACATGGTGCTTAGGGCTGCCGTGTGGCTGGGTGGTCAGGAGCGCCAGCAGCCTTCCAGCCTCACCTGCCCGAGTGATGGAAGTGGCTGTTTTCGATGACTTCGGGTCACTGCTGCAACCCTGCTCCCGTCGTCCCGTCTGCTCCTGCAAGACCTTTTCTGAGCTGTAATGATGGTCTCCGAGAAAGCATGCCCCATCTTCCTTATAAGTGTGCACCTTTGTTCTTTCCCACTTGAGACCTGGCGTCATGTGTGAGTGGGGTGGAAGATGCTTCAGAATTAAACAGCCATAGAAACTGCGTTTTTCCTTCCCCTGAGGCGAAAGCGGCAAGTGTGAGTTAATGAAGCACTTGGAGCCGAGGGTCTCGGGGATGAGACTGACCCAGAGCCAGGCGCCCTTGCGGGGAGCCTTTCCTCATGGGTCAGCGGCGTGGGGCGGCTGCCCAGTGACCTCGCGGCCCCTGTCTGTGCAGGATGAGTCAAAGCCACCGTACTCCTATGCCCAGCTGATCGTGCAGGCCGTCTCCTCGGCCCCGGACCGGCAGCTGACACTAAGCGGCATCTACGCGCACATCACCAGGCACTACCCGTACTACAGGACGGCCGACAAGGGCTGGCAGGTGAGGCAGCCGCTCACGGGGCGACCTGGCGAGGAGACCGGGAGGGAGGGCCCGGTCTGCCTGGACCACGCGGGGCGCCTTGCCTGTGTCAGAGCTGGCGTGCCGTGACGCTGAGTCAAATGGGGCCTTCCCTTTTTTTTGGTGGCAAAGTTTCACATTTATTAAAAGTAGGAAAAAGGGTCTGCAGAGCAAGTTTGGGCCAAGTAAAAATAGGGAAAAAAATACACCCTGCAGCTTAGGAGTCATTTTTCTCAGCTTCCTGCCATACTTTGTTAGGCTTTTATGCCTAGTATATGTTATGATCCTGTGCTTCTTTGGAAATAACCCTTGCATGTGGATGCTGCAGTCCACACGGTGTTGTTTTGGGAAATGGTGTTATTTTTGTTTGCTTTTTGTGGTACTAGGGATTGAACCCAGGGCCTTTACCCTGAGCTACATCCCCAGCCCTTTGTTGTTTACTATTTTGAGATGGTCTCGCTAGGTTGCTAAGTTGCCCCGGCTGGGCTGCAGCTTGCAGTCTTCCGGCCTCAGACCCTGAGACTGCCGGGTTACAGGCATGCACCACCGCTCTGGCCAGCGGTGTTTGTTTCACTTGTGTAGGGTCCCAAGCCCTCTGCCTCAGGTGTACTGATGTCCATTGCATTTGCTGTTTCCCCCGTGGTCACTGTTTTCCCTGTGGCTGGTTTATCTCAGATGAGTGTTGAGCTGTGAGACCCAGGCTTCTCCTTGAGGTTGTTACGCTCCTGTGCACACCTTGTCTTCCTGTTTCGCTTTTTCTGTGAAGAGTGGTGATGGCTTTACCCTGTGGGGTGTGGATGGGAAAAGCCACCTGGAGCTTTGAGGGGCACAGTCGATCCACAGCCACGGTCAGACCATTGCTCTGTCACCTCCAGTCCTGCAGTCTCTGTGCTCAGACTCGGGACAAAGACCCTCTCCTACAGTATGCTGGTGACCAAGGCTCTCTCTGCCTCCCCACAGAACTCCATCCGGCACAACCTCTCTCTGAACCGTTACTTCATCAAAGTCCCTCGGTCCCAGGAGGAACCTGGCAAGGGCTCTTTTTGGCGGATAGACCCTGCCTCTGAAGCCAAACTGGTAGAACAAGCCTTCCGAAAACGGAGACAGAGGGGTGTCTCCTGCTTCCGCACCCCCTTCGGGCCTCTGTCCTCACGGTAAGCCCCCCGCCCCCACACTCCTGCTCGGCCGGCCGTGCAGGGTCGTTCTTGGCGCTCTGAGGCCTGCTGTGTTCCCAAGAGCGGGTCTTTGCACTGAGTATGCAGCAGCTGCGAAGCCAGTCCACCAACTCTGACACTTCCCTGAGTGATGAGAGCCAGGGGTGACAAATGGAGTGCTGGGTGGGACTGAGCTTTCTGCCGCAGTGTGAGGGGACCCTGTGGATGACCAGCTGATCCCTGTCCTGACCCAGTGTGGGGCCTTTTCTGGCCTGAGGAGGGAGGCTCTACCTCTACCTGACCACCATTGCTATAATCTGGCAGCGTGATGTTTGGGGACACGGCTTGTCCGCTGGTGGGCAGAGTGGGAGGGGCCATCTCACCTGTCACAGGCAGCCCCAGGCTCTGCTTCCCACCTACCTGACCGGTCAGGGCCTCTCCTGCCTGTGGACAAGTAGGTAGTTCTTCCAAGTTGAGAGCTGAGAAGCAGCCCCAGGCATGGCTGAAGGGAAGGCCTCACCCTCAGGAATTCTTCCACATGCAGGAACCATCAGGGATACTTCCTGTTACCAGGTGCTTTCAAACTTGCCCTGGGAAAGGCAGCCCAGAGGCTTGAACAGCGTTTCCGATCAGGGCAGTGTTACAGTTCTCAGGTGAACTGGTCCTACCATTGGAAGCTGGGCTTTTGACAGGCTGAGCCACTCTCGTAGAAGACAGCTGGTGCCTTGCAGGAGATAAATGCTGCCAACTGTGGCATTTGCAAGGAAGCTGCTGGTGATGTGGGCTCCCCATTTAATGGAGGCCTCACCCCACTGGGTGGAGCTGCCAGTGTTGGGTCTGTGTCACCAGGTGGCAATTGTCGCTACCCAGAACTTCAGAGTTGGACAAACTTTAGTGGGGCAGAGAGGAGCCCTAGGAGACACAGAAAGGGCACAGCAGGGTAGACACTGGGGCGTGTGATGATTGAAGTCATCCTCAACCAGTGGCGTGCTGACTTAACCTTGGTGGCCCTCTCTTTCTCTGTCCTTTCTCAGGAGTGCTCCGGCCTCACCCACTCACCCTGGGCTGATGTCCCCTCGCTCCAGTGGCCTGCAGACTCCAGAGTGCCTGTCTCGGGAGGGCTCCCCCATTCCACACGACCCCGAGCTGGGCTCAAAGTTAGCCTCTGTCCCAGAGTACCGGTATTCCCAAAGCGCACCTGGTAAGACAGGCTTCTGTCCTTTCCCTGGCTGTGGTGGAAGCCAGGATGGAGCCAGCTGGGCAGGGCGGGGTGGGGCGGGGCCATCTCAGCACCACCCTCTCTCTCCCGGACAGGCTCCCCCGTCAGCGCCCAGCCAGTGATCATGGCCGTGCCTCCCCGACCACCCAGCCTAGTGGCCAAGCCCGTCGCCTACATGCCAGCCTCCATAGTGACCTCACAGCAGCCCTCAGGCCACGCCATCCACGTCGTGCAGCAGGCCCCCACTGTCACCATGGTCAGGGTGGTCACCACCTCCGCCAGCTCTGCCAATGGCTACATCCTCACCAGCCAGGGCTCGACGGGGAGCTCGCACGACACTGCGGGTGCGGCTGTGCTAGACTTGGGCAGTGAAGGCAGAGGTGAGTAACGTAGTCACACTGCCAACACCTACCACACCGGCACTGCCATGCATCATTACCTGGGCTGGCAGGCAGAGGTGCAAAGAGGACAGGTCTCTGCCAGTGCCTTCTGTGGATGTGTACTTTTGTTTTGTTTTGGTTTTGGTACTAGGGATCGAACTCGGGTCCTTGCGCTTGTCAGGCAGGCGGTGGAACCACTGAGCTAAATCCCCGGCCCTTTTTTGTTTTTTGCAGTGCTGGGGATTAAATCCAGGGCCTTTGCTGGGATATATCCCCAGCCCCTTTCTTTTTTTTTCTTTTCCAGTACCAGGGATCCAATTCAGGACCTTATACTTGCCAGGCAGGCACAGCACCACTGAGCTACATCCCTGGCCCTCCCCAGCCCTTTTCTTATTTTTTATTTGAGACTGGGTCTTGCTAAATTGCCCAGGGTGGGCTCAAACTTGTGATCCTCCATTTTAGCCTCCCAGAGTGCTGGGTTTACAGGCTGCACCAACATGCCAGGCTAAGCATTGACTGTCCCCAGGTGGCCTCCTCTCTGGTTCTTCAAGTGCATGTGACTCTTTATGTTAAATTTTGTTTCTTCTGAAGGTGACACTGAATTAAGCTGTGGGGTCCTGCATACAGTTGGAATATAACATCTCCTACAGGAGGAAGAATAAGCCTAGAGGATCCTAGAACCAGGGTCTTCAGGGGGCATTGGAAGTGAAAAGTAGCTGGGAATCCCTATAGGAAGTTTGGTCAAAGTTTAAGGCATATTTTCCCAGAACCTTATTGTTTTTCTTTGGAAATATATTTTATCAGTGCAGTTTTCCTGCGAGAAGCAGTTTTCCCAACACTGCTTAGTGTGCGCACGTGTATACACATACACACATACTGGCAGGCCCTTTGCTTCATCATCAGTGCAAATCCCTGGCCTCGGTGGCCTGATGTGTTTTGTTTGGTTTTGCGGTGCTGGGGCTGGAACCCAGGGCCTCGTGCATGCTAGAAAGCACTTCACAGCTGCGCATGCCTTGCCCCAACGTGTGGCTCCGATTTGCCCTGTGCCCACAGGCTTGGAGGAGAAGCCCACCATTGCCTTCGCCACGATCCCTGCGGCCAGCCGAGTCATCCAGACAGTGGCCAGCCAGATGGCCCCTGGGGTCCCTGGACACACTGTCACTATCCTGCAGCCAGCCACACCAGTGACCATTGGGCAGCACCATCTCCCCGTCCGGGCCGTCACTCAGAACGGAAAGCATGCGGTTCCCACGAACAGTTTAGCCACCAGTGCTTACGGTGAGGCCCCAGGCCCAGGCGCGAGGTCAGCTCAGCACCAGGAAGTTTCCCAAGCCTCACCTAGTTGCCTCAGCCCATTTATTGAGCACCTACTGTGTGCCGGGCACTTTGGCAGGCTCACACCATACCGGTGGGCCAAGAGGCCAGAGGAAGAACCCCGGCAGCTGGCAGGGATGTAGGTACAGAGGGGTGGGCTGGTACGGGCAGGCTTTCTTTGGGTACTGGAGGTGAGGGATGGGGGCCTGTTCTACAGTGCCTGGGGGCTGGCGGGTGTTGGGACAGAGCATCCAGGACTGGCAAGCTCAGCTTCCTGTTCAGTTGACTGAGCCCAGGTCCCTAAGTAACCTGTGCTTTCTCCACCCCAGCCCTCACCAGCCCCCTGCAGCTCCTCGCAGCCCAGGCGAGTTCGTCCACGCCAGTGGTGGTCACCCGGGTATGTGAGGTGGGGCCTGAAGAGCCAGCAGCAGTGGTCACAGCAGCCACCAGTGCCACCCCCACCGTGGCCACCTCTACTGCCACCTCAGCTTCTTCCATCGGGGAGCCCGAAGTCAAACGGTCCCGGGTGGAGGAGCCCAGTGGGACAGCGACCACACAGGCCGGGGTGATGGCAGCTGCCGGCCCCCAGGGCGCAGGCACCGGGGATTGAAGTTACCTGCACGCACACACAGGGTGGAGTGGGACTGTGCCATGGGAGCCCGAGAGAAGCAGATGCTGCACTCGGACAGATGGGAGGGAAACCCTGCAGCTGCCCGCCCCAGGCCACCACGCCAGAACACTCGTCCTGCCCATTTATCTTCTGTCCTGCGGTTTGAAACAAAAACACATAAACAAGTTCAGACAACTGATTGTATGATTCTGGGGATTCTGTGTGTTTATTTTCTTCTCCCTCTGCACCATTGCCCCTCCCCGGCCCTTCAGTCGAGGGCATGGGGTGAAGATCAAGTCCCAGAACCTCAGGAACCCAGCAAGTCACCCACCTGTGATGAGGAGGACCGAGCCCCATGTCCTGGCTTCAGAGCTTTGCCGAGGCAGCGGCCTGTGTCCCTGGGAGACCCAACAGAAGTGCAGCCCTGTACAGACCAAGGCCTCTTCTGTGGGAGACAGAATGGGAACAAATTCCTATTCTAGATTGGGAATAAGCCAGAAAAAGGCAGGAACTGCCGAATTGCAGACTGTTTCCTGGTGTCTTTTCCCCAAAAATGGCATCGAAAATATTGGCATTAATCGGGGCGGGGAGGAGGGTTATCTGGTTTGGCTTTGGACCCCAGGTATTTCTTGCTATGTTAAAACGTGCCATTCAGGCTTATCCCGGATTGGAGCCAAACACTCATGGGAGGCCCTGTGTCTCCGAGGCTTCCATCCAGAGACAGTCGAGTAGCTGTGGTCACCCTGCCATCAGCCTTCCAGGAGCACCAACTGCCGCCCTGTCTGATAACTTCAAGAAGGATCAGCGGCTCCTGCATTGGCATCAAGATGGAAGTCCTCTAGAACTGAGCCACGTGCCACATCCCAGGCCCAGGAAACACGGGTAGCTGGTGCTTGGGGCAGGAGCCAGTCACCTGCTTGGCAGGGAGGACATTCATGTGCCCATCGCTGGAAGATAGGAGGGTTGAGCCCCGCGTTCCTGGCAGCTCTGATGTCTTGATGCTCGTGGCCAGTGGACACAATCTGCTCATATTGTTTCCAACCACATTCCAGTTTCCTGACCACCCCAGATCCACCCACTGGAACTGTTTCTTATGTCTCAAGCTTGAGGCCTTGGGTCAGTTAGCAGGAAGGAAATTCCCCTCCTCGGGCAACAGCGGGAAGCCCCAGGCCAGTGCCATTGGTGTGATTGTAACAGGGTAGAACCAAAGGACAGGATCTATCAAGAGGTCCTAGGTCCCTTAAGGAAGCCCCTCCACATGTCCTGACCGGCAGCCTGCTTTGAGCTCGGTCACAGGAGGGGGTGAAATGGGAGCCTTCTGTCCTGGCTCCTCCTGGAGGATGCTTTCGGGAAACATCGCCATATCTGCATAGAAGTTGGCCTCCAGGCACCCAGTCCCACTTCTGTGGCTTCTTCTGGAGGTGGATTATGCCTAGGAACAAAAGGATGGTGGACACATCTCTGAAGCCACAGCCTGTCCTTGGCGTCCCAGGCTCTCGCCAGCAGACAGCTTCCCCTGCCCTGGACCTGATGGAAAAGCTACAGAGAAATCAGGTCCTAGGCAGCATGAGTGGAAGTGGTAGTCCATGGAAGAGCCAGCAGGACACGCACCACCTTAACAGAGGGTCTGCCTTTCACGGTGACACCAAGGTAGGGCCAGAGGCAGGCTGCAGCTGGGCTGGGACAGGGCTGGTAGGCGATGGGACAACCCCAAGCTGTATCTCCTGGCACTTGGCCTTCTGCCTTGCTGGGGAAAATCCCTCTCCTGTTGCTTTTTAAAGCCCCTTTCCCCATTTCTATGGCACTAAACTTCAATGGGAAATAAGCTCTGTTCTGAGGTCCATACCTATGTGGCCATGGTCAAGTTTCAGAGAAGCGGGTATGGGGTGGCAGCAGCTGACTGCTCTCTCGCCAGATGGTGCCACAGAGAAGTCGTCCCTTCCCACCAATGGTTTCCAACCCTCCCCTCTTGTAAACTCTGTCTGTCCTGTGTGCCTGGTACATGTGTGGGTCGGGAGGGGGATTGGGGTGATGGGGTCTGAGGAACTCTGTGTGACAAGGGACATTAAGGTCTCCTGTTGCTTCTTTCCCTTCCTTGGGCCTCATTTGTGCCCGGGCTGCAACCTGTGTGCTGCCCTGGCTTCTCGCTTCTGGGACATTCTGGTGTTGGTCCTCTGTCGGTGACATTGATGCTGGTGCCAGGAGAAGGGGTGGGAATGGAGTTGGGGAGGACAGAGACATGGTCCCGAACAAGGAGAGAGATGAGGGGAGGGAGCCTCAGGATCAGAGCGGACAGTATGGGGCAGAGCGCCCCTGCCTGGGCGGACTGCTCTGGGGGTGTAGGGTGAGCATTTTGAGGGTCTCTGGGCTGCTTGCATTGGAACTTACCCTGGAGCCGAGAGGCATAAACCCTGGCCACGGGGCCCCCTGGTGCATGCCGGGCCTCTGTACGGGCCTCCCCCGAGCATCCCCAGGGCCAGAGCCCAGCCAGGTGCCAGGAGAGCCTCCACAGGGCAAGGGCTCAAGCAGCCTTCTTCATGATTGAGGGAGAGCTCACTAGCCATGGTTGCAGCACAGGACCAGCATCGCTGCAGCAGTGGAGCCCAAGGACCTGCTGGGTCACACAGGGTCCCAGGCACTGCATGGCCTGGAGTGGAGGGGTGACCAGCAGGGCACCACCGCCTCAGCTCATCTGATGGGCACAGCATTCCAGACGAAGACTGGTGTCCACCCTCCTCCAGTGCTTTCTGCTCAGCCATAGCCACACGTCTATGACAGAAGTCACCATTTGTAAACATTTGGGCACATCCTGCCAAGACCAGCTATGTAGTGGTGGACATGAGAAGGGCTCTCTGCCACCAAGGCGCTGACCCCAGCTGCGTCCTGGGGGTGCCCAGGGCACCATCCATGCACCTGGAGAGCAGTGTGCAGCCAGCGGTGTGCTCAGCACCTGACCTCGGGGGCGAAGCCCTGGCTGGCTGCCCCATGTGGAGTGTGCAGCCCCTGCCTCTGGGGAGTTCCAGAGCCTCAGAAATCACACTGCATGGCCTTGAAGACAGTTGTCCCCAGATCCTCCCTAAGAGGTTTCCACATACCCTGGGGAAGGGGAGCTCCAGTGCTGGGACCAGCACTGGAAAGAGGCTGTGGGGACTGCAGTCCTCAGCCTCCCTCGGGGCCTGGTTTGTCCCTACTCTGGAGTTGTCTACTTGTCCTTTTTCTTACTCTGATTTAGAACTAAGCCAAATGGAATCGGTGGAAATGAACTTCTGTGTTGCTAGGATGGGTGTCCCATGATCCCAGGTCCTGCTTTGTGTCTCAAGTAGGGAGGGAGCAGGTGGGCTTTACCCTGGCCAGGATGGATGTCTCCCTGCCCTCTAGGCCACCCTGGCCCCCGGGAGGATGAAGCTGCGGTGAAACCTCAGCACCGTCCCTGGGCTCCTCTGCCCTCACCAGTCCTGGTGACAGGCTGCTCTCAGATCACAGGTGTCACTCAGTGGGCACTTCTCTTTCCACTGAAACAGGTCCTCCAGGGACCTTCTGTGTGAGTGGGGACTCTGCAGAGAGCCTGTGGCAGGTCCCTAGTAGATGGAAACCTCTACTCAGGGCGATTCAGTTCAGGAGGAGGAGAGGAGAGCTGCACTCTGGCTTAGGAGTCGGTGTCCTCCTTTATGGAGACAGTGATCAGACCTCACTTGAAACACAAAAACTTAGTTGAATGTGAGAAAACATTGGAAAAGAAATAATTTCCCCATGGCTTTTAGAGCATAGAAACAAATACAGCTGGAGGGAGGGGACACTCTGCTCTTCTCCAAAAGCCTCAGATTCCACTTTGCTCCCAAGTGGCTTCATGTGGTCTGAGGGACGCAGCCATCCCTGGGGTGGGTGCCCTTGTCTGTGCTGCAGCCCCATGCCCCTGGGACTTTCCGTGCTGTGGCGAGGTGCTTGTTCCAGATTGAGTACACAGCGAGGCTGTAAGATTGTCCCGGCAGAAAGAACCTCAGGAGCCCAGGAGTGTCCCCACTGCGGGCTGCTGGCTTCAGATGGGAGTGGGCTCACTGCAGCCTGGTCTCTGGCCTCCTCTAGAATACCTCTGCCTAGAAGCAATATTATTTATGCCTAGAACAATACGGATTGTTCAAATTGCTGCTATGATGACAGAATCTTAGGACTTAGCTCTGGAGGCTCCTCTCCATGTACTTTGGTTCCCTGAGGTAAGGGCAGAATATAGACTATAACAGGTCCCCAGCCAGTTTCTGGCTTCCCTTTTCATGGTGCGCTCCTCTCCCTTACAGTTCCCATGTACTTTGCAAGTTCCTCTCTCTGGGCCTTGTTTTCACACTGAGGTCTCCTGAGTGCAGGACACTCCTTGTCATCATTGTGCTTGCTTTTCTTGTTCAGGTCTGGGCCTGGCATCTGCTCTCAGTACCAAAAGCTGCTTCACTGGTGCCTGGGCCAGGGGTTGGCCCTGGTGCCTGGCAGGTGCCCTTTTCCTGCTGCAACATGAGGTCTGAATTGTCCAAGTGTGGCATGGAGAAGGGGTTGTCCAATTGGGATCTGCCATCTCTCCTCTGTCCTTCCTGAAGTCACAACTGCTTGGCAGAGTGGGATTTTGTGAGACAACTGTGGATGTTTTCCCTGAACTGAAATAAATACTGGCCCATTTCACTGACTTCATGCTGGAAAGACGGTTTTACACTTAGATTCATAAACAGAAGTCACATGAGCGGCTCGTTGCCATTACAGCAGCTGCAGGTGCTCTGGCTGGCTGCTCTTCTCCCAGCGGGACTGGGCTCCACTTTCCAGGGCCCAGCTCTCCTGCTGGAGGGGACATTCCAAACTACATTCTGGGGGGTCAGGGTGCAGCGGCCAGGCAAGGCTGCCCCACAGCATGGCCAGCCAGATGCCCGTCACCCTAGAGGTGCTTCCTGGGCATGTGAAGTGGATGGCATTCCCCTGGAGGTGGTGGGAAGGTTCTCAGGGCAAAACAGAGAGCCAGAGGACAACAAGAAAGAGATGCAGGCAGGAGGTCACTGCTGGAGGTCACTACTGGTCACATCAATGCCCAGAGAAAGACTTGAGTTCCACCCCAAAGCCCAGCCCACCACCCCGATGAGAAAACTTCCAATGTATTCTTGTGCCGGACCGAAATGAAAATCCCTCCTTTCATGGGGTGAGCCTTGGGGATTTATTAGCTTCTTTTACTTATGCTGATGGCTGATCGGGCTGCTCAGTGTTGCAGAAGAGTGAAGAGAGCTTTCTTTAAGACATCCTTTTCTCTGCAGGGAGAACCTCCATTTAAAGCTCTCACTCATTCTTTGCACCTGTCTTTATAACCACAAAAGTATGGGGAGAAGAAAAGCCTGGAGCCCAGGCTCAGCAGCAGGTGAGCCCTGCCCTTGGGTTAAGCAGCTGGACACTGGTGCATGCGACCCCGAAACCCCATGAGCCAGTGGCATCCTCAGGTCATGGCCTTTGGGTTCTGGTCATGAACCCAGAGGCTGCCAAGGACACCTGGAGAGGTCGCCGAGTGACCCTCTCCTCGAACCTTACCTACCCACTTAAGAGTCAGAGGAGAATCAGAAGAGTCCTGCTTTTAACTCTTTATCCGGGGATCTGTTTCTGGAATAGTCTGAACAGTGTGCAGGCATCTGGGCCCAAGAGGACACACGCTGTGAACGGCTGGACGCACTCTGCCCTCTGTGGGTTTCCTCCCACAGTAACAGCACTTACCCCATCCAGAGTGTCTAGCACTGTCCCTGGGCTCCTGTGTACCTCACTGAGCTGGGAGGAGCCCTGTGGCTCCAAGGTAGATTCTTTGCCTTTGTTCCCTTCTCGGGCTGTGTGGATTCAAACTGCCTGTAGCCTCTGAATGTCTGGGTTAGCTGGTCAGATTTTTTTATAGTCAGTAAAAATGGGGTTTAAAATCACACATTTTAAGTTTGGTCCTTCTCTCTCTTCCTTCCTAACTTTACAAGAGGCATTCTGGATTCCTAATACACCTTAACTTACGTGGCTTGAACCCTGTTGCAGGAGAAAGTGGTAGGGCGGGAGGAGAGACAGGCTGTCTCGAGTCTTTCCTTAGACTCCGCTTGGGAGGGAAGGGTCAAAGCCAATGCTGATGTTCTCTCTTACCTGAATGATAGTTCTCCTGTAAAAATAATTTGATGGGGGTGGGCGTTGTTTGGGGAGTGTGTATGTGTGTGAGGTTTTTTTTTATTTTACAGTGGCTGTCTAAAGTATTTTCACAATACGTTTAATAATCAGTGCTTTAAAAAGCAGTGGTATCCTGTAAAGTGGGAATTCCGGTTCGAGAGCTTGGGATGCATCCCAGGTCCATGGGGAAAAGGTCCCCTGGGCAGAAGCGCTGGAGTCAGAAGAGCCAGCGGACCCACGTCTGAAGCAGCTTGCCTGGGTTTTCATTTCAAATGGGATACAGTATTTTTTTATTATGGAGCCATACTTTTTTTTAAAAGTTTGAGATCTGAATGTGATTTCTAATTGTATCAGACGTTAATGTTTTAAAACTATAACAAAGTTTAAAATTTCTACTTTTTTGGTTTTTTCATTTACTTTAACTGTTCTTTTATCTATTAAATTGTTGTATGTGGATGGGGGAAGTTTTGTTTCTCCTCTTAGCATTTGTTTCTATAACCAGAAAAATTATATATTAAAGAAATGACACCAAGACTCCGTGTGGTCCTTGAGAGAGGGTGGCGAGGGAGAGACGGATGGACAGACAGCCTGGACACAGATAGCCTTGTCCCTGGAGTGAAGAAGCCTCACCCCGAGCTGCTCTGGAGGCTGAAGAGCAACTCCTGGTGGGGCTGTGCTTCCTCCCATCTGTCCTTGGCATTGGGCTCCCAGGAAGAAGCAGAGGTCCAGACATGTGATTTCCATAGGTGCCTGTGAGGGCTGGATGGGGACCCCTGGGCCCCATGAGTCCTCTGAGAACAACTGTGTGAAGGCAGCGCACACCTGCCCCTCAGACATGGGCAGGGAGGAGCCAGCGTGCTGTCCCCTGCTCCAGGGTGCAGACGCAGAGCAGACACGGGGTGCCCACAGGGTCCCTGTGCAGACATGGGTCCCTCCGGCACTCAGCCAGGGGACAACTTTTGCCCGTCTGTGTGTTCCCACCAGAGCTTTGCTCATTGTAAGTGGTGGGGCAGGTGGAGGTCAACAGGGTGGACATGGCTGGGCATTGACACACATGCCGTATCCGTTGGCTGCCACAGGACTGTAACATGCCATCAGGTCCTGGCCAAATGCTCCTCTGTGGGTCTCCTCCAGTGAAGCCGGGCCCCTCCTCTTCCAAGGGCCTCAGACAGGCAATGAGACACTGGCTGTTTCTGCTGCAGGTCACCTTTAACTGGGCCATTATGAAGGCCTGTGTTTTCTTTTTTTTTTATTTTTATTGGTACATTTTAGGAATACAATATAATGACATTCATCACTGGAAATGTGCACCTTTACATAATCTCTCTTGGTTCTTATTTTTCCCTGGTCCCCTGCCCTCCCTTCAACCCCTCCATCCCTCCCTATCTACAAAGACTTTGTTTCCATTTTTCCATTTTCTCATATTAATCCCATTCCCTTCTTTCCTTTCCCCTACCCCTCCCACTTCCCCTTCCCCTTTGCCCCTTTTCTTCCTATTTCACACTATCTATTATACCTTTTAGTCCTTATTTACAGTTTCAGTTTCTCACACCAGAGAAACTATTCGGTATTTACACGTGTGTCCTGTTTATTTCACTTAAGAGTATCGCCTCAGTGTGCATCCATTTAGCTATAGATGTCTCTAATAGGCCTTTGTTTTCTGACCTCTCTCCTGTCAAAGTTCTGTGACGCTTGTACATGTGACCCATTCTCTCATTCAGCTAACAGATCACCCACACTTTTCAAACTTCACAGTTGTCCACAGTGATGGCTGAACTCTGTACACTTCCTGGTCTTCTTCTGGATGGCTCCATTTCCAACATAAGATTCTAACCGCAAGCACTACTGTAACATTAACAGATTCATTACTTGGGGGGGGCGTTAAATTCTTTTATTGATTCATTTTAGGTATACAATACATTTACATTTATCATTGGGTGCTTGTACCTGTATATGATGCATCTTGGTTCTTAGTTTTTCCCCATTCCCTGTGCGCCCTTCACCCCCTCCACCCTTCCCTATTTACAAAGACTTTGTTTCCA